TAGCTTAACCAGTATACTACCTTATAGGGATTCTATAGTGTTAGGAATACAAATCTGTTTTTTATCCCCTCACCTTGGCAGCTGGAGGGTTAAAAAAAAATGTTAATTATTTACGCGATTCCAGTGCCGATGTCCCTCTGTGCTAGATCGGTGCTCCACCTCCTAAGATGTCAGCCGACTGGGAGGTAAATAACATGCACAGTGAGTGCCGAGAGGGCATTAGGCACTCCCCATTGAAAAGCATTGCTTTAATGCTTTCCAATGGGGATTTTAATGACACTGGATGTCCCCATGCGGAGAGTGTGGACGTCCTGCTTCAGTTTGGAGACCAAAAGATGGTTAGCAACCAGGAAGCGCAACCAGGGCAAAACTCCAAGAAGTGCCTCTAATGGCTGTCTGATTGACAGCCACTAGAGTCAGTCTTAGTACTGCAATGTAATTATTGCAGTTTCTCAAACACTACAATGATTTACATTGCAGGACTATGTGGGACAGGGACACTGCATCCAGACCACTGAGATAATGTAATCTGGGTGCTTATTGTGTCCCTTAAAGTAATAATAAACATTTTCATTTTCATTTTTTTTGCAGAATAAAATCTAGTCCATAAAGCACTCACTCTCATTTATACTCTAGATATGATTGACAACCTGTATAAAATCTTTCCTTTGCAAATAATATATACCCGCCGCTCATGGGTGTGGGCCAGGGGGAACCTATGTCCCTTGTTTAATTAAATAGTCCCACTCACGAGGCACGGATGGGGGCTTGCTAGTTAAAAGTTGCCCCACCATGCGGCCATTTATAAAAGTGGGGTGGGGGAGGATTTTCTTTAATTTTTTCTTACAACAGTGAGCAGCCTGTGGCTGCTCACTGTTTACTACACATGCCCCTACTCACTATATAGCTTGTAGGAGCAGATTAATTACTAATACTAAGTAATTTGTAATTAGTATTTGTAAAGTTGGCTAAAAAAAACAATCTTGGTCTTTCAGCCTTTTGGTAGGTACAGTGAGGGAAAAAAGTATTTGATCCTGTGCTGATTTTGAAAGTTTGCCCACTGACAAAGAAATGATCAGTCTGTAATTTTAATGGTAGGTGTATTTTAACAGTGAGAGACAGAATAACAACTACAAAAAAAAATAATCCAGAAACATGCATGTCAAAAAAGTTATAAACTGATTTGCATGTCAAAGAGTGAAATAAGTATTTGAGTCCCTATCAATGAGCAAGATTTTGTACAGGTAACAAGCTGAGATTAGAAGCACTCACTTAAAGGGAGTGCTCCTAATCTCAGCTCGTTACCTGTATAAAAGACACCTATCCACAGAAGAAATCAATCAGATTCCAAACTCTCCACCATGGCCAAGACTAAAAGGACAAGATTGTAAACGTACACAAGGCTGGAATGGGCTACAAGACCATCGCCAAGCAGCTTGATGAGAAGGTGACAACCGTTAGTGCGATTAATAACTGTCAGTCTCCCTTGGTCTGGTGCGCCATGCAAGATCTCACTTTGTGGAGTTTCAATGATCATGAGAACAGTGAGGAATCAGCCCAGAACTACACGGTAAGATCTAGTTAATGATCTCAAGGCAGCTGGGACCATAGTCACCAAGAAAACAATTGGTAACACACTACGTCGTGAAGGACTGAAATGCTGCAGCGCCCCACAAGGTACTCCTGCTCAAGAAAGCACATGTACAGGCCCATCTGAAATTTGACAATGAACATCTGAATGATTCAGAGGAAAACTGGGTGAAATGTGGTCAGATGAGACCAAAATCGAACTCTTTGGCATCAACTCAACTCGCTGTGTTTGGAGGAGGAGGAATACTGCCTATGACCCCAAGAACACCATCCCCACCATCAAACATGGAGATGAAAACATTATGCTTTGGGGTGTACCGTCAATCTTGGGTGAGAACCTCCTTCCCTCAGGCAGGGCATTGAAAATGGCTCATGGATGGTTATTCCAGCATGACAATGACCCAAAAAACACAGCCAAGGCAACAAAGGAGTGGCTCAAGAAGAAGCACAGTAAGGTCCTGGGGTGGCCTTAATCCCTTAGAAAATCTGCGGAGGAAGCTGAAGGTTCGAGTTGCCAAATGTCAGCCTCGAAGCCTTAATGACTTGGAGCGGATCTGCAAAGAGTGGGAAAAAATCCTTCCTGCGATGTGTGCAAACCTGGTGGTTAACTACAAGAAACGTCTGACCTCAGTGATTGCCAACAAGGGTTTTGCCACCAAGTACTAAGTCGAAGGGGTCAAATACTTATTTCACTCATTGCCATGAAAATCAATTTATAACTTTTTCGACATGCGTTTTTCTGGATTTTTTATTTTTTGTTATTCTGTCTCTCACTGTTAAAATACACCTACAATTAAAATTACAAACTAATAATTTCTTTGTCAGTGTGCAAACGTTCAAACTCAGCAGGGATCAAATACTTTTTCCCTCACTGTAGCTTCCTGATACCTTTGGAAATAGGGAGCTATCTACTAGACATGTGCAATTTGTTTCGGTCTGTATGTGAATTCGGACGAATTGCGGGCAATTCGGACATTTGGGTTCTTCTGAATGTCTGAATAGCTGAATTACCAAAATCCCGCAGTTCCCGAATTTCCGAAGTGTCGAAGTGTTGAAGTTCTGAAGCACAGTATTGCCTAAGTACTAATATACTTACCCAGTGGAAGAAGAAGAATGTTACACTGTATACAACTTTAAATAAAAAGTATACAAACATAGAAACATAGAATGTGACGGCAGATAAGAACTATTCGGCCCATCTAGTCTGCCCAATTTTCTAAATACTTTCATTAGTCCCCAGCCTTATCTTATAGTGTCACGGCCCCCGGCTCGCCGCCATATGCGTCCGTGCCCAACTGCACCAACTCACTGAGCTTACCTGCTCAGCGACGAGCCGGGAACCGCTCCTCCACGCCGCTCGTGGAAATCCAAGATGGCGCCGATCCATGGCTCCACCCCCAAAAATTATACACGACATCAACGCACGCGTACGTTCTGGGGTCAGAGGTCACCCTCTGACCAATCAGAGCCTAGAGAGGGATATTTAAATCCCTAATTCACCCCAGTACCTTGCCCTGTCGTGGTTTCCTGTTCCTGGTTTCCTGAGAGTGCGTTTTTCCTTGTGATATTGATATTCTGGTATTCTGATCTTGGCTATTCCTGGTTATTCCGATTTCTGGTTCCCCTGACTTGGCTTGTTTAAACAGTATTGTGTATTTCTGGCTTCTTTGACCTCGGCTTTCCCTTTGACCATTCTCTGTCTCTATCGTATTAGTCCGGCCATTCTAAGGTCCGGTTTACGTTCTGTCCTTTTATTTCCTTTCTTATTTCTATGTATAGGTTTACATAGTTTCTGTGTGTTGGACCACACTAGCAGTCATGACCATAGGCGTGCGCACGGGGTGTGCCGGGTGTGCCTGGGCACACCCTAATCCCCGTGCGCACGCCTATGGTTTGAGTCCTGCAGGAACAGCGTTCCTGCACTTTTTTTGAGCAGGAACGCTGTTCCTGCAGGCACTCAGTGCCCCCTGTTTCACCTCTTGCCCCTGTCATGGGGAGGGCAAGAGGTGATGGATTCCCACGCCCCACTCAGCGCGCGGCGTGGGAGCTCTCTGCTGTCGGCTCTCTGCTCCCTCTCGCCGCGCGCTGATGCCGGGAGCCGGAATATGACGTCATATTCCGGCTCCCAGCTACAGCAGACAGCCCGCGCGGCGAGAGGAAGCAGAGAGCAGACAGCTCCCTCGCCGCGGCTGAGCTGCAGAGAGGCGCCCGCCCCACTGGACCCCAGGGACAAGTCCACGCCAGCACTCCAGGTAGGAGGCTGGGTGGACATTTTTTTAAAATTAAAATGTAATAATTTGTTCTTATGTGTGAGTGTGTGTGTGTCTGTGTGTGAGTGTGTGTGTCTGTATGTGAGTGTGTGTGTGTGTGTGTCTGTGAGTGTGTGTGTGTGTCTGTGTGAGTGTGTGTGTGTCTGTGAATGTGTGTGTGTGTGTCTGTCTGTGAGTGTATGTATGTATGTATGTATGTGTGTGAGTGTGTCAGTGAGTGAATGTGTCTGTGAATGTGTGTCTGTGTGAGTGTGTCAGTGAGTGAGTGTGTGTCTGTGAATGTGTGTCTGTGAGTGTGTGTGTGTCTGTGTGTGTGTGTGAGTGTATGTGTGTCTGTGTGAGTGTGTCTGTGAATGTGTGTGTGTGTGTCTGAGAGTGTATGTATGTGTGTGAGTGTGTCAGTGAGTGAGTGTGTGTCTGAGTGTCTGTGTGTGTGTCTGTGAGTGCCTGTGTGTGTCTGTGTGAGTGTGTGTCTGTGTGAGTGTGTCTGTGAATGTGTGTGTGTGTCTGTGAGTGTGTGTGTGTCTGTGAATGTGTGTGTCTGTGTGAGTGTGTGTGTGTGTGTCTGTGAGTGTATGTATGTGTGTGTGTCTGAATGTGTCTGTGAGTGTGTGTGTGTACGCATATATGTATATACACACACACACACACACACACACACAGCTCTAGACAGAAGCTCCGCCAGGTTCCTCTCGCAATATCTGAGTGTTGCTGCGGCAACGCTCAGATCTCGCGAGAGTTAACTCTAGCCCCGCAGGCTAGAGTTCACTCTCCACTGGACTACCAGGGATGGCACATGGCAGCAAGGATTTACTAATCTGCCAAATCCCTCCAAACATACAGCACACACACATACAGCACCTACACACATACAGCTTACACACACACAGTACACTAACCGCACCCTCACAAACACACACAGCACCTTTAAAAAAAAACACAACACCCTCACACACAGCACACAAACAGCACCCTCACAAATACATGACACTCACACAAACAGCACCCTCACAGGACAAACATACACACACAAACACCCTCACACACAAACAGCACAGTCACAAACACACACACACACACACAAACACCCTCACATCACACTAACAGCGCCCTCACACACACATCACACTAACAGCACACACAGCAGTGTATGTGTGTGTGTGTGTATGTATCTATCTATCTATGTATCTATATATATATATACATATACATATATATATATATAGATAGATACATACACACACACACACACACACACACGGCGTGTGTTTGTGCTTTAGTGTGCACACCCTAATGCAATAGGCTGCGCACGCCTATGTATACCTAAGACCCAATTGACACCACCGTCTGAACATCACTCTCACAGAAACCTCCAATGTCTTGACCTAGAGCATTTCTCCACTAATCTCTAAACTCTCATTTTACCTATCTCAAACCTCACCTGTCCTAGTTCTGCAACCTCCTTCTACAATTCCACACTCTCCTCTCAACTAGACATTCACTCGATACCTCCACAAATGCTCTAGAACTGCTAAACGCTGTTGGAGAAAGTCTCACTGTGCATCTTTCTCCACTATAAATGTATGCTGAGCTCATACAGCTTGGCTCTTTCCTCTGCAAAAGTTAATTACTTCAATACCCTGATAACCACACTCTCCCGTGAACCCAAACGACTATTTCACACATTTAACTCTCTTCTTCGCCCTGCTGTTCCTCTTCCACCTACTAACTTGACCGCCTCAGACTTTGCAACTCACTTCACTGACAAGATCTCTCATCTTTCTTCTTCCCCTTACAATACTTCCCCTAACTTCACTCCATCTGCTGTTCTATGTTCATTCGCACCCGCTACATTGGAAGAGGTTTCTGCTCTGCTCCAGTCCTCCCGCCCCACCACCTGCTCCCTAGATCCAATTCCCTCGCATCTCATCCGTATTCTGTCTTCTTCTCTTTCTCCACCTCTCACTAAAATTCTTAGTATGCATACATTTAATATTATCATGAGTGATTTGTACTTTTTGTGGATTTTTTATCAATATTACATACCTCCTCTGTTGCGTAGAAGGAGCACAATCCTTTTAACAGTGGCAAATAATACTAACTTGATTATATGAATATCATAGATACCATTTGGCAGATGATAGTCGTTGATAAGAACAAATGATTCCCAGAGAGCAGACTTAGTATCCCTGCTTCCCAATTAACTGAAGGCAAGAACCGACTATATATCCCAGACTGGGAGAACTTATCTTGCTAATGAGTGATGAGCATTAGAGTCCTTTCCAAAAAATGCGGATTACGGTTCTTTACAGTATGAGGAGAAGGCAGGACACCGAGTTTTAGTCTGTTTCTTTTTCAGGGAGAGTAGAATTAGCACTGTCAGAATAAAGCCAGGGTTCGGTACACAGAATTCAGAAGAGAATGGCAAAAGAAGTTAGTTGAGAGGCACAACAATTGTAAACATATGTAGCGTAATACACATAACCCAACACGTAACACAATAGCACAAAAATTGATCGAGCATTTTAGACTCGAACGTGGCTTTCTTTTTTAAAGGAAGCTGGTGACGTCAAACGCATGGGTGGAGACTAATCTGCAAAACCCAGAAGTGACAAGGGTATTGCTGATCAATCTGAAAACCACATGGAGGAATGCCGTGAGTAAATGGAGGGATCCAGACGCACAGCCCTGTACCCATGGGAGGAGAGATTAGTCACCAGAGGCACGCAATGCCACTGGACCATCCGGGGTTGAAAAGTACCCCTCCCTGCACAACCCACACACACACACCTAATCCCTCCACACACAGCACCTCCCACAAACTGAAACCTCTAAACACACTGCACCCCTCACCAGGGCCGGATTAACATAGGGGCTGATAGAGCTGCAGCTCCAGGCCCAGGCCCATGGAATAGGCCCATTGATGTAAAAAAAAAAAATGTATTTATCAGGTATTTGAGGCTGCCTAGTCGGTGCCGGTATTGCAGTAATACCGGCAATACAAATGTCTATCTCAGTATAAACAGATTATTCTGCAATACCAGCGCCAGCCAGTAGGGGTCGCTGTTTGTGTGGAGAGAGGCAGGGATAAGAAGTTACTGCATCTGCCTCTCTCTACTCACTGATCCGCGGGGGAGCAGCTCTGCACAGAGAGTCCAGACAGCAGCTACAAGCCTGTGATACATGGGGATGATGAGAGACTTGGGGACACTGAGACATGGGGACACTGAGACATTGGGACACTGGGAGACATAGGGACACTGGGGAACATGGGGACCCTGAGACACTAGTGATATAGTGGCTCCATGTCTCCCAGTGGCCCCTAGTCTCTCAGCGTCCCCACGTCTCCCAGCCAGTGTCCCCATGTCTCCCAGTGTCCCTGATGTCTCTCAGTGTCCCCAGGTCTCTGTGTCCCCATGTGTCTCTCAGTGTCCCTAGTCTCTCAGTGTCCCCATGTCTCTCCATGTCCCCATGTCTCTCCCAGTGTCTCACTGTCCCCATGTCTCCCAGTGTCCCAATGTCTCTAAGTGTCCCCTAGTGTCCTAGTGACATCGGGAAACAGGGAGACATAGGTACACAGACTCTAAGGGACACTGGGAGACAGTGTCCCTTAGAGTCACTGGGCGACATGGGGACACTGAGACTCTAGGGGGCACTGAGAGACATGAGGACACTGGGCGACTTTGAGACCTGGGAGACATGGGGCACTCCCAGTGTCCCCATGTCTTCCAGCCAGTGTCCCTAGTATCTCAGTATCCCTTGTCTCCATGTACCTGGTGTCTCTCAGTGTCCGCAGTGTGCCAGTGTCCGCAGTGTCTCAGTGTTTCCTAGTCTCCCAAAGTCCCCTAGTCTCCCAGTGTCTCAGTGTCCCAATGTCCCCTAGTGTCCCCATGTCTCCTAGTGTCACCTAGTATAAAAAAAAAATCTCAGGCACTCACTGTGATAGATTTAAGTCTAGTGAGCAATCAGAGAGAAACTGTTATATTTCTACTCCTGTCTCTATTCTGCCTGTGAATACCTTATGAGTTAATAATTATTCAATCATTTCTAGTTCACAGAGAGATTTTTCACTTATTTTTTAATTCTTCAAGTTTATTCAAGACAGGCATTAGATAAGAGCAGTAGATAGGGGCTGTAATCTGAAACAAGTTACCAACCCCATACAACTGAGGGTTAAAGCAACTGTAACTAATTAGTATCCTCTTTATGCTCTCTCCGTTTTGCAACAATATTGCAATACTGTGATAATACAGAAGCCCTAACCTGACAGCTATCTGACTCAGTTTCTTCACTCAAACTGTCTCCTATATTGAATTGCATTAACCAAAATTAGGAGAAGAGAGATTGCAACAATTTGTAATTACAAACAACCTTCTACTAGTTCTATATTATGATATTGTAGAATCAATGACATCAGCCATCTGCTCCTTGTATCCTAGACACCTACTCAGTGTGATATAAGAAAATCCAACTCCTGATAGAGACCTCACTCAATAAAGTCAGAGATTAGGACAATTGGACAACTTTATATTCTTTATCTATTTCTGCATATATCATCTATTTTTCTGAGTAGGCAGAGGTATAGCCAGTTGGCTTTGGATTTGCTATCTGACCATTAATATAAGTGGTGTGCAGCGTTCTATCAAAGAGCATACATTTCCTCATCTTGTGTTCCTTTCCAGCTAACACCGACATTCAGAGTCTTTTAGCTCTGGAAATAGGTAGTTATTATTACGCAATGTCTTTATCAAGTCTCCAGTGTGCCCCATGTATCACAGTGTCCCCTGTGTATCAGAGTGTCTCAGTGCCCCATGTCTCCCAGTATCCCTGGTGTGTTTCAGTGTCCTTAGTGTCTCAGTGTCCCCTAGTCTCCCAGTGTCCCCATGTTTCACAGCGCCCCCAAGTGTCTCAGTGTCCCCTAGTATAAAATAAAAAAATCTCAGGCACTCACTGTGATAGATTTAAGCAGGTTTATTGGACACTGCAACATTTTGACCTGTACCCAGGTCTTTATCAAGTCTCCAGTGTCCCCTATATATCAGTTGTGACAGAACCATCTGCCTGCTTGTATTTTAGTTGCATTCGTCTGTTTGTATCCCGTTCGTATGAATGGCTGTTTTCTATAGCCCAGCCATTCGAATGACTTTTTTCCCGAACAAACCTGCCAAACAGATGGCCACCCAGGAGAGGAGTGTGCTGCTGGTTAACCTATTGATCCCAATTAGAACGTTGTGGTTAACCGCAGACACTTCTCAATTAAACCGAATTCAGGGTGGTCGTCGTTCGTATGTCGACCACGAGGCAGCGGCCATTTTAAACCACGCGAAAGCCCAGCGGTGTTTGGCTCTATTTCTATGGAACTAAAAACGGACACTTTTTGTGCTGAACACCACTGAAACAACGGAACACCTGGCTGTCTCCACGAAAGCATACGAATACCGGCCGTTCGGGAGGTTTGGAGCATACGAAAAGACTTAACCCAGATAGCCTTCCCATGGAGTCATTCGTATACCGAATAACTGTAAGAACTTTGACTCCATGGCGATTGAACTATGTGTGTGGGATCTGAGCGCTATTCGCTAATAATATGCACTAAGATCCAGGCTATCTGGGGATATATGATACAAATGGGAAACGTTCGGGTATTTTAAAGTTATGTATTTTTATGTCTTTTGTGATGTTATATTTAAAATGGCGACTGGCTTCGTCCTGGAGATAATTGAGTTACTCGGTAATTATCTCCAAGGCAGAGGGGAGGGAATCATAATGCACTGTGGGTAAAATCTGTGACTGTGTGTCTGGAATGTCCCCATATCTGTCTGTCATTTAAGTTTCCCATTTGGTCCCCTAGGGGAGTGTCCACCAAGTGGGAGACCTGCATAAATACGGGCAGGTAGCCCACAGTAAAGCCAGATCCTGTTTGACCCTAAATGCGGAGCTTCTGTCTCATTATTGGGGGGATTTCTTCTTCACGTTTAGAGACTGCTGGATGGAAATGAAAGCCGCTTGGTGGATGTTATTGTTCGGCGGCTAGCAGCAGTTCGTGTATTGCCGTTCGGGAGTTTGGAGCCGTTCACGGATCCCGGTCGGGAGATTGCCGCTTCCCCTGCATTTGGTTCGTGTACTACTGGTTAGGCGAACGGAGTTACTGTTACTGCAGACGGGGAAGGTCGACTAAACGGCGGTTTTGCCTAAAGACACTGGAGGTGTCTTAACATCAGTGTCCCCTATGTATCACAGTGTCTCAGTGCCCCATGTCTCCCAGT